CCTCTTTCTCAAGTCTGAGGGGGGCGGCCACGTTTCATGCTGGAGCAGCCGGACCGGGTGGCAGCCTCGCCGGTCCGGCGGCATTCCTCTCACTAACACTGAAGGAGGAGGAGGAGCATGCGTCTATCATGCTCCTTTGCGGTTCCCACATCCTGTGCTGGGAATTGTGTGAACCGCAGGGAGCATGACAGACACATGCTCCTCCTCCTCCTCCTTCAGTGTTAGTGAGAGGAATGCCGCCGGACCGGCGAGGCTGCCATCCGGTCCGGCTGCTCCAGCATGAAACGCGGACCCCCCCTCACAGTGTGCCACCGGACCGGCCACCCGGTGGCACCTTGTTCCGCAGTCCCCAAATGCCGCCCCCAATCCAGCCCTGCCGCCGGGCCCCCTGAAGGCGGCCCTGGCGGCGGGCCCCCCTCCCGGCCGGGCCCTTGGACCGTGTCCGAAGTGCCCGACCAGTCAGTCCGCCCCTGGCAGCAGGTGTGCTTGAGACAGCACCTGTTTTGCATATTTGTGATGTTGTGAGGGATTCTATTAGGGGGTTGGCTGGAGAAGTCATTACAAGTTATATTTTCAGTTGAATTTGGGGAAACCACTTGAAGCATTTGTTGTGTTGTTTGATTTATTCAGCTGAAAGTCTGTACATTTTGACAATAAACCTGATTTTCAATGGGGGGGTCAAATAATTTTGATTACAACTGTGTATATATGTATATATATGCACACTGAGAAGTGAGTACATGTAGGATAATGTATATTTGAGTCTACATTGCATATTGAGAAATGTTATTTATTTTCAACACTTAACACAACATTCAACTCCTTAAGAACAACAAGCGTTCTATGCCGTCCTTGTGATGTCCTTATGGAGGTGGCTCTAAACGTCGGAGGGTGGGATAGGACATCCCCGCCGTTCTTAATACTTACCGGGTCCCCGGGAGCTCATGCAGTCCCCCTCCACCCGATCTGGCCCTCCCGGGCCATGTGATCACCGGGTTCTCGTGATAACATGGCTGGAATAGCCGGCTTGTGCAATGCCTGCAGGGGGACTGCCTGAGCTTTTAGGCAGTCCCCCTAATGCCTGCACAAAATAAAAATAAAAACACTATTTAACTTAAATAAAAAGTACTTAGTTCACATATATATATATATGATTAAAGTACTTTTATAGGTACATGCACATATGAATACCATTTTTGAAAGTGTATTCTAATATTAATTTATATATATATAAATACTAAAATACACTTTCAATTACGCTAATCATATAAATATATATATATATATATATATATAATAAAATTAATCAATCAATAAATAGAAAAAAATTAAAAGAAAAAGATAATTTACAAAAATGATATACCTGTTTAATTTCGTTCTAACTGTATGTTGATATTGATATACATATATATTTAAATCAAAATAATGTAGAACGATTTTACAAATACATATATGTATCTATATATAAAAAAATATATAAATATATAAGTATACATATATATATATATATGTATATATATATATATATATATATATATATATGAATATATATTTATATTCTACATATGTATTTATACAATATTTTTTACATAATGAAGTCATTTTATTAATTACAATTTGAGGGACCTGCCTGACAACCCAGGCAGAAAGTCCATAGAACTTGGTTCGCAAGCCCTATATATATATATTTTAAAAAATTCTTTATTTTTATAGTGCATAAGTTTAGTACAGTTGCGCATTGGGTACCCCAAAGGCAATCCACCAGTGCATTATCAACGTTTAAACAGAGACGTACATGTTTAGTCGAGCACATTTTTATAACATTAAAGTATATTATGAACATTAACGATTTTCGATTTAGGCATATACATAACATAGCGTGACCTCGCTTCACTTCTAATCATGAAATTAGGATGCTGTGACAAGAGCTATGTAAATGTTAAGTACATAACCATAGGCCTTATTCTTCATGGGGTGCAGCAAGGATTAGCCGATCACCGTCTGGGCGTATAATTATTGTAGTGGCTAGGTGTGCTCTAGGCGAAGATAAAGAAAGAAATAAAAAATAAATAAAAAGTCAGGGTGAACCCCTTCAAGCCTGTGCTAGCATGGCCATGTTGTGATCTGGTCACATAGAGCGCCACCCGGAATTGCTGGGCTTGGCTCTCGTGCGGTTGTGCAGAAAATGGTTCAGCCAATGCCTAGTGTTGGGAAGTCCCGGTCAGTGCCAATATGAGTCCATGCTTTGGGGTCTCCGGGTGTGATGTCTCCATACCGGGAGTCAGCTCCGGTGGTGCCTTGAGGGGAGTGCAGTCGCTCCGACCTTTGTTTTGTAGCGTCGCCCGCGGGGATCCGGATCATGCTGCACTGCATAGTATTGGTCGGGTCTGGAGGGTTCCCTGCATGTGTATTTTGTGGCATGGTTGAGGGTTTATGTGGTGGCAAGCAGTGGAGTGTTCTTGCGAGGCCCAGCGCCCCTTCCCTCCTTGGAGACTGCCAGTACCTGCGTTGCCGGATGGTCGCTTTGGAGGCTCTGGGTGGAAAGCCCTATATTTAACCCTTTAACTTTCCAAGACACCTTAAAAACTGTACATGGGGGGTACTGTTTTACTTGGGAGACTTCGCTGAACACAATTATTAGTGTTTCAAACCAGTAAAACATATCACAATGATGATATTGTCAGTGAAAGTGCTATTTTGTGCATTTTTCACACACAAAAGGCACTTTCACTGACAATATAATTAATGTGATACGTTTTACTGTTTTAAAACACTAATATTTGTGTTCAGTGCAGTCTCCTGAGTATAGCAGTACCCCCCATGAACAGGTTTTATGGTGTTTTCAAAAGTTACAGAGTCATATATAAGGCTTGCAGTTCTGTTTTTTTCACATAAAAATTTGCCAGATTGGTTATGTTGCCTTTGAGACACCCTTAATAAAGGCAGCCAGTTGGTGCCGAAACATTAGGGGTATTGGTGGCTTGTGTTTCAGTCTTGGTAGGCTTATGGAAGTTGAGTAACTACTGTGAGATAGACTATTTGCCTTTTTTGTCGCTTTGTCTATTTTGTTTTATGTATTGACTATTATATTTGTTTGAATAAAGGCTTTATATTATTATTAGTGGCTGTTATAGTGTACATTCTGTATCTTTGTATATTTTAGGCATTTTAGGGAGTGCTTCTGTGGTTTGCATCTAGCTGTTGTAATACATAATTTCATCTCTCCATGCGTTTTTTGTTATTATATTAAAAAACACTGGACATACCCCATTTGTAATAGCTTGAGTTGTCTACTTTTGCAAAAGGTATGCAATCATGGGGGTAATTTTCATTCCTGGGCTACCAAACGGTCTCAAAGGCAACATAACCAGTCTGGCAAATTTTAATGTGTATAAACTGAAATATGTAATGTGCTATATTTTACCCTATTAATTTCCAAAACACAATAAAACCTGTACATGGGGGTACTGTTTTACTTGTAAGACATCGCTGAATACAAATATGTGTACTTTATTGCAGTAACAGCTAACATTATTATGACATTTACAGTTAAAATGCCATGCAGAACAAAAAAAAAAATTTCTTTATAGCTCACATTTTTTTATATTCATATTAAATTAAGTTTAATATGTAAATATTTCACGTGACATGAAAAAAGACATGTTTCTCCTGATCAAAATATATATAATAAAAGGGAGTGCATTTAATATGAAAGAGGTGAATTATAGTTGAACAGATATATGTAATTCAAGGTTTTGTTTGCGTTTTGTTTTGTTCTGAACTTGCACAACTGCCTCAGTCCTTAAGGGGTTAAAGGTTTTTCTGTTACAGCAAAATTTTCAGGGGGAAGATTTGCAAACCTCCTAGTAGTGAATGGGTTCAGTTATAATTGAGATTATCGCTAAATTGAGAATTGTGCCATGAGAATAGGTGGCATGGCATTCACCCAACTCCATTTTGTCTGAAATTTGCACTTCCCTTTTCAGTTCTACACAGTTCCTGAATTAGTGGATAACCCCATGCATAGCCATCTAAACAGTATAAAAGAATAGGTGAAGTAGAGAATTATACACAAGGACAATACATTTAATATCTGCAGGGTATATTTTTTATATTCCTATTAATTAGCAATAAATAAAGCCCAACTTGTTGAATATTTTTATCCTTCATGATATCACTATATTACAATATTTTAAATTCAGTTTGACTATGCTATTGCAGATGACATTTTAGTCCCCTCTCAATACTCTTATTCCCATTCCTGATCAACCCATTGAAAGTGGCAAATATTAACCCCTTTGTGACCAGAGCGTTTTTCAATTTTCTTACCGTTAAGGACCAGGGCTCTTTTTACATTTCTGCGGTGTTTGTGTTTAGCTGTAATTTTCCTCTTACCCATTTACTGTACCCACACATATGATATACCGTTTTTCTCGCCATTAAATGATCTTTCTAAAGATTTTTATCATATTATCATAATTTACTATAAAAACATTTTAAAATATGATGAAAAAACGTAAAAAAAACACACCTTTTCGAACGTTAACTCCCAAAATCTGTTACGCATCTACAACCGCCAAAAAACACCCGTACTAAATAGTTTATAAATTTTGTCCTGAGTTTAGAAATACCCAATGTTAACATGTTCTTAGCTTTTTTGGAAAGTTATAGGGCAGTGATGGCGAACCTATGGCACGCGTGCCACAGGTGGCACGCCGGGCCCTCTCTGTGGGCACGCGGCCATAGGTTTGCCATCACTGCAGAGTAGGCACCTGCCTGCCCGAAACGGCAGGCGCCTACTCTGCTTCCGTGTCGGCAGGACCGGAAGCAGGGAGGAAGGATCGAGGAAACAGCTCTCCTGTCCTCCCGCGAGCTGTGTGGATCGTTGCCGCGCGTTACCATGGCAACGCTCCACACAGCATCGCGCGGGAGGACGGGAGAGCTGCAGGATTTGTCATCCTGTCCTGCATACCACCACCAGACCACCAGGGATGGCTGTGTCCCCCCCCTCCCCTTCACCAAAGGTTAGAAGAAGGGAGGGGGGGGTACTGATTTAATAACCTATCCCCCCTACCCCCAGCACCCCTACCCACAAAACCCTTACCCCCAGCACCCCCACTACCCACAGCACCCCTACCCACAGACCCCTACCCTTACCCACATCACCCCTACCCCCAGCACCCCTACTCCCCACCCCAGCACCACCCTTACCCCCAGCACCCCCACTACCCCCAGCACCCCTACCCCTACCCCCCAGCACCCCTACCCACAGAACCCTTACCCCAGCACCCCTACTCCCTACCCCCAGCACCCCTGAACCTTAGCACCCCCACTACCTCCCTGCACCCTACCCACATCACCCCTACCCCCAGCACCCCACTCCCACTACCCACAGAACCCTTACCCCCTGCACCCCACCACACACAGCACCCCTACCCCTACCCACATCACCTCTACCTCCACCCACTCCCCCACCCCCAGCACCCCTACCCCACCCACAGCACAGCACCCCCATTCCCCCCACAGTACACACAGCACCCGCCCCCCCCACACACACACACACAGCACACACACAGCACCCCACACACACAGCACCCCCCCCACACACAGCACCCCACCACAACATTACACACAGACACATACACTGCACCCCTCAATGCAGTATATGTGTGTGTGTTCAGCAGTCTTTATGTATTCAGCAGTGTGTGTGTGTGTATTCAGCAGACTGCGTGCGTGTATTCAGCAGACTGCATACTCAGGAGTGTGCGTGTATTTAGCGGACTGTGTGTGTATTTAGCAGTCTGTCTGTGTCTCGGTGTGTGTATGTATTAAGCAGTTGGTGTGTGAATGTGTTCAGCAGTCTGTGTGTATGTATTGCATTTGTTGGAGATATTAATATAAGCTTAATTTATATCATTATTTAAAATTTGTATAATTTAACTCTCTGTTGTGTTCTTCTTTTAAAACAAAAGTTGTTAACTGTACGAGTAGTTTTTTCTAAACGTAAACCTCAGTATTCAGCTTTAATTGCCATGTTGGCACTTTGAGGGAAAAAAAGTTGGCATGTATTGCGGTTTGGGCACTCGGGCTCAAAAAGGTTCGCCATCACTGTTATAGGGCAATAAGTACAAGTAGAACTTTGCTATTTACAAACCATTTTTTTTCTCAACATTAACGCAGGTTACATTGTAACTGTGATATCTGTCAGAAATCCCTGAAAAAACCTTCACATGTATATATTTTTGAAAAGAAGACAACCTAAGATATTAAACTTTTTTACATTTTACCACCAATCTATGCCAAATTGAAAAATAAAATAATTGGTGATTTTTTTTGACACACATAGCAATTTAAAAATACATGTACGGAGAACTTTAAGGGTTACTGCCAAAGTATAGTATAGTATACATGTAAAAAAAAAATTCAAAAAAAATACATATATATATAAATATAATACGTGTGTGTGTGTGTGTGTGTATAGTTTTATATATATATATATATATATATATATATATATATATATATGTGTGTGTGTATATATATATATACACACACACACACTTTTATTTCCTATATATGTATTATATATTATAATTAAAGCATTTTACATATTATATATATATATATATATATATGTATGTATCTCAAAGTACACTTATAATGAAATCATATATATGCATTATATATGAAGAATATATTATAAAATGCTTTAATTATTTTATAATATATTATACATATATAATACAGACACTCCTCACTTACCGACCGGGTTCCGTTCCTACAACCCGGTCATAAAACGAATCGGTCGGTAACTGAGGAGTTAAGAGATTTCCTGCTCTGGTGCATTCGTCACATGGCCCCCTCAGAAGAAGACCGATCGCCGTCAGGGAAACTGCGGCGATCGGTAAGTACATGGGGTAGAGGGAGGGTAGAGGTCAATTAATTAAAAAATTTTTTTTTTTAACTCCTCGACCCTTTGAGGCACTCAGTACAGGCAGAGCATCGGAAGCCTGCCTGAATGCTTCCGATGCGCTTGCCTACGCTGCCGGGCACCACGTGCGGCAACCCGGAAGTGATCGCTTAGTGCTGCAATGTAAACAGTGCAGTTTCTCTAAAACTAAATGCAATAGGGACACTGTATCCAAACCACTTCAATGAGCTTAAGTGATCTTGGTGCCTATATTGTCCCTTTAATTACAATAGTGGGTTGAATTCTCTTAGCAGGAAGAAATTACTATTAGTAAGCAGAATAAGACCTTATTCTGCAAAAAGAATCCAGCTGAAAGGTTGTTGTTTTTTTATTACACAACCTGGAAATATCTGATTTCTTTCACAGTCATTTGTTTTTACCAACATGCACATAGGGCTGGCAGATATCATATGTCCTATATTGTGATTAAAAACTGGTTATTAATTTGTTCTAGTCTTGTTCCTGCATGAAAAAAACACCTCGATTCAACTATTTCCTAAGGGATCATTTAATATTCATATTACATAAAATAAAATTACGATCTAGACTAAGTGCAATGTATCCTGCAATTTGAACTCATTAACTAACTTGTTTATGATAAATTGCAGAATACAAGGTAATGTACATTGTTTTCACTTCGCCAGAAATATTCATGTTGCAACCAGTTTGTAACATAACCCCATGGCTAAATATTAATTATGAGATGTTTGTCTTTTTAACTCCTAGGTTGAGATATCATGTTTGTCTTTTGCAGATAAATAGCAATGTTTTTGTTGTTGTTAATAAAAACATGCTGGTGACTGTTTACATATGCAGTACTGATATATGAACTATCGGCATGCCATATAAGACACTGCTTTCAATGTATGAAATGCATCTACTGGATACGATGAATGAGCAATAGTACAGCTGCCACTGTGTAGTAAATTGTAATATTGTGATTATTGCTCACTGACAGTTACATTAGACTGACAGCAATTGTTTATTTAAAGCTAATATGTTTTAGCTGCAGGGTTAAAACAAGGTGTTGGTGTTGGGGAGAGGAGGTCATTGAGATGAAGTTGTTTTGGTGCCTATAATGTTCCTTTAAGACAATGTGGTTCAAAAGTGTGCAATACATGTATCCATCTCATCACTACTTTTCCTGTTTAAATAAAATAATTATATTATAATTTATTATAACATTTTTTAAAATGTGCTAACACTCTATGCTGGTCAGAGCCTTGGAAAATATTATCAATATGTCACTTTTACTTTTATATAAGGAATGAATGGTGCGGCCAACATATTGCAGTGCGCATGCACACATTAAACGCTAAATCACACTCCCAGTAAAACGTGATACAATCTTTAATATAAAATCTCTATTATATATTCTCCTAAATGTATCTATTTGATTTATTTTACTATAATTACAACCACTGCACTTATTACATGAATGAAAAACAGTTTTTATGATTAAAAAATATATTTTTATCTCTTTTATTAACTTATCTTGAGATAATTGTTTTAAAATTAAGAGTTCCTCTAAAAATAACAAAATGCATGTCTGGCAATAAATTATACAATCCCCTTTCTTTAAAAAACTAAATAAAATTATTTATACTTTTTTTTTTATCTCTGTAAAATGTACATTAAAATTAAATACGATCAGAATTCTGTCTACATTTTGGGTATGTCCAGTTTTGTTCCTTCTTGTTCCTCAATGTAATTAAGTAATTCTGACTATACTTTTAACCTGGTTAGACACCTCTAGAATCAATTTCTCTGAATATTTTTTTTCTCAAAATGTATTAAGAGAAAAAGTTTTAAAAAACTGCTGTATTAGATCAGTTTATATGAATCTTTTGGAATGGAACTTTCGTTTATTGTCTAACCCAGTGGCTCCCAAACTTTTTAGGTTTAGGGCGCCCTTAATATTTCAGTATTTTTCCAAGGAACCTCAAGTCAAAATTTCTAGGTTGTATATCTGTACAGCGCTGCGGCGCTATAGTGTAATGTACAGTGTTGGTGTTTTAACTGGAGCTTGTATACATTTATTGTGTTTTAATACAGAGGTATGTTTGTATGTAATGTTTGCGTTTGATTTCAGGGGTGTGTCTGAATGTAATGTTCACTTTTAAATGTGGA